AGCCAGTGATCAAACTTCCTGAGTCTCCGGAGATGAAACAATGTCCTGTGCCTGGGAATCAGTACCGTCCACCTTTCTCCCGAACTCTGTATAAAGCACCGGGAAAAGAGGGCCTGGCCTCACCTGAGCCTCAGCCTTCTTGATTCGGCTCTGTGGCGTTCTCTATGACTAAGTGAGCCGCACATGCACTCCTGTCCCACTGGATTGGTCCTACTCTGTTCCCTTTCGCCATAGCGTCTTTGTCTGCCTCTCTGACCTAGCTAACTCCTCCTCATCACTAACACTCACTCACTGCCACCCCCTTCCCTAACCTTGTACCGGTCCATGCCTGGCTGGTTTTCGCTGAGCACCCTATGTCTCCTTCTACATAATACTTAGCACTGTGCATTTTCTGTTCACTTGTGACTGTGCCTAGAATTCTGAGCTCTCTGAAAGCAAGGAACTTGATTCATCTCTTTTTCCCAGGCCTAACGGCTAAGTGCTGAGTAAGTGGTCAACAGATACTCGCTGAACTGAATGAGAGCTAGGGTGAGACCTCTAAGGGAAGATTTAGAGCTCCGAGTTGCAGGGCCTGCTGATACTGTTGCTAGGAGCCTCTTGCAGGCAACAGCTGCAGGCTCCTCCCCCACTTGCCAGCCTCTTCTGCAGGTGGTAGAAGCAGAGCAGATGACGGGAGTATATTGCTACTGGTACTACCAGGAAAAAAACTAAACAACTAAAAAGAAGGGAAAAAAAACCCGTCACAGTGCCAGCTCTTGTAACCCACACTGTTCTCCTGCCAGCATTCAGTGTCTGCTGCTAAGGAGATGTCTCATCACTCTAAGCTCCTCTTCCAGGAGGGGTGAGCATCTGGTCCCTTCAGCCTCTCAGACCTTAATCCTGATGTGGAGAAAAGCACTGTCCTTTAGTCTTTATCTCTGTGCTGCCCATTCAGAGCCCACCCTATCCGCAGATCAGAAAGTAGACACAAGTGTGGCCCTAGAAAGAAATGACTTGCTTCTAATAACAGACAAATTCTATGGAAGATCCCATAATACAATAAATTAGCGCACATGAGCTCCCTGAACAATGAAATGGGGTCTGCCCGTCTGCATTATTCATTATCCTCCTCCCCAGTAATGACCTTCCAAGGCTTTGGAGTCAGATGGACAGACAGATGGACAGATAGCTGGGTGGATCAGTGGATAGACGACCACGTCCAAAGAAAACTCTGAAAGTGAAATCCCATCCAGCAGAGGGCACAAGCAGTTTGGGACCAGAGTATGGACACTGATCCCTGTCCAAAATCTGGGCAGTTTCAGCTTCTGGGGATCATTTTCAAAATGATTCCCAGATCATTTTGGCTGTGACAACTGTATTTTTTCTTTAGTATTACTCATCAAATGCTATTTCTATTTCTAAATAATGAAAACAGTTTACTATTTCCTGAAGAGCAGACCCGCATCATTAGTCCAGACAGTAGCCCAAGGCCTCTTTCTTTAGCTATATTTGACAAACTGACCTTGGCTCAGGGAATCCTGGTGACCTTTGATTTCCATTACTAACTTTGTATATAAACTGTATTCTCCCAATAAAGCACTTCCTGGGAGTTTATGGGCACTATAAAATGATCTGCGAATTAAATTAATGTTTGAGTCTTTCAAAGTTAAGAACCATAAAGGTAAGACAAACTACACAGATCATCTCTACTTGGTTCTGCTGGGGTCTGTTGTACATGGTGGCCAATATAAACTGTGCCTGAGGAGAAAGGACCTGGGTTTTTTGTTTATCTGTTTGTTTTTGAGACAGGGTCTCACTATGTAATTGAGGCTGGTCTTCAACCCACTGTGTAACCCAAGCTAGACTGGGACTCACAGCAATCCTTGTACCTCAGCATCCTAAGTGCTGAGATTACAGGCATGTATTACCACATCAGACAGGGCCTGCTCATGGCAAAAACTTGTACAAGGATAACAATGTCCAGCTGGGTGTAGTGGTACATGCCTGCAATGCCAGCATTCTGGGAGGCTGAGACAGGAGGATAACAAGTTCAAGCCCAGCCTGAACAACTTAGTGAGACTGTCTCAAAATCAAAAATTTAAAAAGGGATAGGGGTGTAAGTCAGTGCGAAGTCCCTGGGTTCAATCTCTAGTACTACCATTAAAAAAAAAAAAAAAATCCAGTATAGATAGATCTATACTAGCTATAGGTCTATTAGATCAACAGATTGACAGGCATTCAGATGGGTCTCCTAGCTCACTACACTTCTGTAACCTACAATATCAACAAAAATACTACAATATTGCACATTTTACTGTCTGGTCATCATAAGCAAGCCAAAAACATACCACTTCAAATAAATGAAATATAATGTTACTGCATTAAAAATTCAGCTCTCTACAACTTCTTTGAATAAACAGGCAAGATAACATAGTAACTAAACACGCCAGTTTTTTTTAGACTTTTAAGCATGATTATCCAAGTCATGTGAACTGGAGGAGGAAAGGGAATGGGCAGAGGCAAGAAGGTAATAATGTTAAAACTGAGCTGAGCTGTGTGCACTGGCACATGCCTGTTATCCCAGCACTTGGGAGGTTGAAACAGGAGAATTACCAGTTTAAGCCCCGCCTGGGCTACAGTGAGTTCAAGGCCAGCCTGAAGTACACAGCAAGACCCTAGTTCAAAACAAAACAAAACGACTCTGAGGTGAGCCTATGTTAATTCCAAGGGGGAAAAAAAAGAAAACACCTAACTTTAGTAAGTAAGGTAAGTTTACAGCTTCCTAGGAATAGCAGGCCACAGCAATGACTGGTGTTAAAGATACCAGATGTGATGGCCACCAATTATTAAGTACATACCAGTTGGCAAGCGCTGTGCTAGGTATATAACCATGTAACCATTCCATGTAACCATCAATCCTATGAAGTCACTGCTGCCATTTAATAGATGAAGCAGCTCAGCGAACTACAGTAACGTAATTAAGGAACAGAGTTAGCAAGTGGCAGAGCCAGAATGCAATCTTAGGGCTGTATTACTCCAAAGTTCAAGAGTTTTGCACTGCATGATGCTGCTTAAGAATAAAAATATGTCATCAGCCCTAAGGATTAGAAAAAAATGTTAAAAATTAATCTCACCCACCTGTCTGATCCCCCTGGTACTCCACTGGCTCAAGCCAGGAGGAGGGGAACAGGGAGGAAATAAAAAACCGTGGCCATCACAGGAAAGAGTTGGTGGGAACGCGGCCAGGGCCAGAGTTACACTGAGGCCTCCTCCCTGCTTTCTGCTAGGGCAGAAATTAGCCACATCCATGCACCAGGAAAACATCTGTCAAGCCCTGACTTTCATCCCAAGGCCACAGACACCTTTGGTTTACTTGAAAATGTAGTATTCTTGAGAAAATTTGTAACATGAAAACCTAAACAGAAACTAGTTGTAAACTACCTTTAGCCAACTAGCGATCCACCATCATTGTTCCACCATCATTGTTCCGTGGCACTGCCATTATTCAATTATCAATTCTCCCCACTTTCTTTTCCCCCGTAACCTGTACGGACCCACCTGCCTTCCCACCCAAGGATCCGGGGTCCTCCCGGGAGAAGGTCCTCCCGCAACCTGCTGGGGGTCGCCTCACACCCAGATCTCTACTTTCCAGCCCTGCCCCCAGCAAGCCAGGCTCTCCAGGATCACGACACTCCCCAACTCTCCAGCTTCTCACACAAAATCCAGCCCCCACACGGAAAATCTTCACCTCCTTCACCCACTCCCAGCTTCTCTGCCCCTCTCCTCTCAGACCCCTTACCCTTCCAATCCTTTTGTGCCCTTCTGAAATGTGGCTCCCCGTCGCCAAACCCAACCTCTTCTCCGCCTGCCTACTCCCCCATCCCCACGCCATTCCACCCCTGCACCACCCATTCTTCCCTCCCTCTCGCCCCGCGGCTTTCCTCTCCAGGAACCCAGTCAATCCCTCCATCCCTCCCTTGTGTCCTCAACCTTCAAAAAACCCCTTCCTTCACGCCAGTCTCCGAACTTCACAACCCCCGGCTCCAACTTCTTTATTCCCTGCCCCCAAGACCCCACCCCTTCCCCTATTCCTTTCCTCTGCACCCCTCAAATTCCATTCCCTTTCCCCTTTCCCCGTACAATACTGCGTCCCTCTCAACTCCCCCACCCGAGCTAACCTGCTCTCCGCCACCCACCCGAGAGGCGAACCCCAATCCTCCCACGCCCTGTGGCCCACCCAGCACCCCGCCCCC